ACTCTTTTGTTTCATCAACAAATTCTGATTTGGATTTTTGAATCAAGTTGGATGAAAAAGGAATTAGCCAATCAAAATTTTGACAGTTTAGTTACATCTTTAAAATTAGATTATTGGATTTTTAAAGGTGAGTTTATTTAAACGGCTTATTTCATAATTTCGATGATAATTTATTGTTCATTAATTAATAGGTTATTTTGAAATCCGTGTTGTAATTTTTTTACAAATTTACATTTTAAAAATTATAATTTCCGTGTGGTAACATTGTCTCACTACATTTAGTTACTTTTGATCTTGTCAAATTTATCACTATACAGGGTGTAGTCTAAATACTTAGATGAAACTTTTTTAAATTTATTTCTTTGAAGACTTTTAATCATTAACTTGATATTCTTGGGATTTCGTGTTTCATTACACTATATTCCATTAAATGTAAAATGCAGTCAGCATAAATACTACTGCTATTGTATAAACTGTATACATATATTTTTTTGTATAACTTAATTTTCATATATTGTAACACTTTAAATGGGTATTACCCGTGTATAATTATAAATAAATAAAAAACCACATACAAGAACTACTGCTACACATCTCCACAACACAAGAGCCAAGTCAAATAACAGCTTGATGACACCAACATGTCAACGTGACACCAGTCAACAATTTGTAACCGCATTTGCTTGCAAATTTTTTAATAAACTACTGATAAACATAAAAAATATAACCAAATCACATATATTTTGACTTAAAGCTAAACAATATTTTACTGTAAACTTAGATTTATTTATGATTTTAATAATATGACTGGTACACCCCCACCCCACATTCGAATAATTTTTTTTTATTGTCACAACACGTTTTGTAAATTTATACTTTAGTTTATTTGTATGCTATAGCACACACAGGTGGACACACCAGGTGCTTATGTTTCATTCTTTAAGCTATTATTAAGTGACTAAGTGCCAAATTTAAAATGTATATGTAAATATTAAATAAATAAATGACATTTTTTTTTTAATAATAATAGTTTTATTCAGAAAAGATACAAATTAATTCTTACAAAAAATAGATATATAAAAATACATTACTATGTTTAAAGAAGTTAAATTATATCTTTGAATAAACATGTGTGTGAAATCATCCATAAGAAGCCAACAAGAATATATTTTCATGATTGAATGTGTTGACATTAATATATTTTTATACACATATTTATGTAAAAAAAAACATTATTAGAAGCCAAAACTAAAAAAATAAAAAATATTTATTAGACTTAACAAGAAGCGAATATTTTCTCTTCCTAAGTTTATAATGTATGTTTTAAAACGTTTTCTAATGAATTTATATTGAGAAGGTATATTTTTTATGATTTGGGGAGACTATTGAATACTTTACTCATTTGGTGTTTGGATACTAACATTTCTTCATAAAAATTGTGTCTGTACATTAAGATTTTCTCTATATCTTGTTTTGTGATGGTGATTTACGAGTTGTAAACATTTTTTGTTTTTATAAATAAAAATAATTATTTGATGCATAAATAACTTTCTACTATCAAGTATTCCTGCTTCCGAAAAAAGAAGTTTGGAAGGGTATGTAAGTTTCTTCTTAAATATTATTTTTAATAACCGTTTCTGAAGTACATCTAACTTTTTTATGTAACAAAAAGCAGCTCCTCCCCAATTAAGAATCAAATATATTAACCCAGATTCAATTAGAGCAAAATAAATAGTTTTGAGATCTATAAAATCTTTAAAATACCTAAATTTGTAAAGTAATGGTCTCAGAACTTTAACTACATTTTCAATACGAATGACAATCTATATGCAGTTCAAGATACTTAAAATTTATAATATATCATAGTTATGTACTGTACTAACATTGTTAGAAAAAGGCACAAAGTAAGTTTTTTCGAAATTAACAGTTAGTAATTTATGACTAAATAGATTGAGCATATTTTTTAAATCATTTTCAGTTTTTTTTTTTAATTTGTCTAAGTATTATCTGAGTAAACAATTGCTGTATCATCTGCAAAGCTTATCAATCTACCTGCACTTGAATAAGTAAGAATATTGTTGAGATAAATAATAAAAAGGATAGGATCTAACACAGTACCTTGTGGTATACCAAATTTAATACATTTTCTTTCACTTAAAATGTTGTTGATTTTTATCGTTTGAGTTCTATTTACTTAATAAATAAGTATCAAAAAGTTTATTTGGTTCGCTTCGAATTCCTATATCATCCAGTGCCTCCAACAATTGCGTATGAGAAACTGTATTGAAGGCCTTAGTCACATCCAGAAACACACACAAGGTAAGTTTGCTAATTTCTAGGAAGTTTCTAACTTCCTGTAACAATTCTGAAATAGCATCTGTTGTCGAGATCCTCTCTTGGAATCCAAACTGGTTGTTGTTTATAATTTTATTACTTGCAATAAATTTAGTAATGCGAATTTTAAGGGATTTTTCATAGACTTTAGCCAGGCATGATATTACTAATATTGGTCGGTAATTTGAAACATTTATTTTTCTCCTTTTTTATAGATTGATGTTATTACTGCAGTTTTGAACTCTTGAGGGATACAAGAAGTTGTGAAAATTGAATTAATTAAATGAATTAGGGAAGAAGCAATAACAAGTGTAATATTTTTTAAGATTTCAGTTTTTATACCATCAATCCCTGCAGCTCTCTTAGACTTTAAAGGTTTTATTAATTCAATAACTTCAGGTTCTGTGACAGGTGCTAGGAAAAATAATCTTTGACATTTTTTTTGCAGACTCAGATATGTACATTAGAGGGAGGCTCGATTTCATTAGCATATCTCTCACCAACATTATTTAAAAAATTATTAAATTCATCTGCATTTGTGGTCAATTCATTATTAGAATTTTTAATTTTTTTTATTTTATTTTGATCGTTAGTAAAAAATTTATTTTTTATTATTTTCCAGTTTTTTTGAACAATTCTTGTTACTATCAATCATTTTTTTATGGTACCTATATTTTGTTATTTTAATTATTTTCTCTAATATTCTTTTAAAATCAATGTATCAATTTTTTTTAAATCATTTGTTGGGTCTGTTCGATATTTTGTATAATTTATTTTTTTTTCTTTTATAGAATTTACTAAGCCGTTCGTGATCCAACCCTTACGTTTATTATTATTATGCTTAATTATTTTGGTATTTTTGTGTTTCTCTATGAAAAAGTTTAATGTCTAAAAAAAATTTGTTGGATCATTAATGTTATTAAATTCATTCCAATTATATTTCTCCAGGTCATTTTTTAATCTAGTATAATCTATGTAAATAATGTTTTTTAGAATTAGGTTGAGATTAGGAGTTCATTATATTTGGTATACACAAAATAGTTGCTTTATGATCAGTAATAAACTTATCAACAATTCTAGAAAAACATTCTTCTGGAATGTTATTTTTATTTGTTTTTAAAAATATGTGGTCAACACACGTTTTAGTATTACCTTGTTGACCTATTTATCATAGAAATAAAATTATGTTTACTTAGGACGTCCATATAGGAGGATGTGTTTTCATTTTCTTTTAAAATATTTAAATTGATATTACCTATTAAAATATATTTATTATTAGTGTTCATAGTTTTTGTTAGCTCAAGGTAATCTTAGACGGCATTAATAAATGTTAATTTGTCAGCAGAGGGTGATCTGTAAAATGCAGTTACTATATATTTCTCCAGTTGAAATTCAAGCGCTTTGCAATATCCGATAAGTTTTGTTTGATATGATATGTTTTCTTACATAAACTACCACACCATCATTTCTATTTAATTTACCATCATTGTATATCATATCATAATTTTCTAGATAGAACAATGCCTGGTAGTATAATGCAATCATACTTAAAAAATATCTGGCTGAGAAGTACTTTTAATTAGTTAAAATGTTTTCTTAAGCTGCATATATTTTATTGGTAAAATTGAATAGTTTTTTATGCAACAAGTGCAAAAAGTAAGTGTTTATTGCACGTGAAACACGTCGAGTGCAATAAACACTTTTTGCACGAGTTGCATACAATATTTTTTCTACATTCATGCAAAAACCAAAAAATGTGTTATAGAACTGCACTTCTATTATCCAAATCATAGTAGCTGTGATTGTGTACCTTTGTTTGAGGCATTTATTTACGTTTGTGTTCATAATTTGTAATGACACTTTTAATAAAATACATTTTTTTATTAATTTATTTATTAAATGATTGAAAATAATATAAAATAGGCAATTGTTTTTAAAACGTAACACAGAAAATGAAAATGGACTAAATATTTGGCATTGAATTGAATATTTATGTTTGTCATGATCATAAAACACTGTAGTAAATAACAGATGAGTGCAATAAAATTTTTATTGCACTAGTGCAATAAAGAACCAGTTTTTTCACTAAATATAGTTCAATAAAGTTTTGTTTTTTGCATGAACCTAGAAAAATAGTTTTTATGTTCCCTAGTTGACCAGTACCTATTATAATCTTCTGAATGAGAAAATTCACCTGTAGATATTGGGGAATAGTCAATATCACAGATATATTCATCTATTTTTTTATTAGAATAGAACTTAGTTTAATGAAAGAAGAGAAAATGAAACAAAAGAAAAATGGAAATGTATGAGTGAGAAGATAATAAAAACCTAACATTCAAATTCACTCCCTTTCCTGTAAAATTGATACAATTAATGGAAAAAATTGCATGTTTATTAAAAAAAAAAAGTGTCTATATTCATTTGCACAAGATATGCTTAGTTTTTTGCCTAATCGAAAAGCGCTTACACTAGACATTTGCCAAAAGTTGTAATTCTGCATATGTGACTTTAATTAGATGTGAATACAATCCTATTTAGACCCTGCCCAGTAGTATAATTTATACTAACATTCAAAGAAGTTATAACTTCATGTAAGCATAGCCAGTGCGAAAATGTATTCAGAAATGTTTTGCATGTTTAAAAATCAATTACTAGGAACTTACTTTTTTGATAGCGGCACTGCTTCCTTTTCTTTATAATATTTATAACATTTGCGTCATTTTTTAACGTATTTGATAACCTTTCATTATTTTCTCTGTCACACAACTCTGTTAAACTTTCTTGATATTCAGTACTTTTATTGTTCATACTCGGCTGATTATATTCACTAATATCTTCCTTAATATCCACTTCATCAGTGTTCTTGAGTTCTTTTTTAACAGTTGCAGCTGTAGCACAAAATCGCATTTTTCCAGAAGCCGAAGCATTGTTAATTGTTGAGAGCAAATCTGAACGATATTCAATTTTAGGCTCGTCACATTCAATAATTTCTTCTTTAATTTCAATATTTTGTCCCGATTTGTTGGTTTCAAACTCATCAAAAAAATCATCATCATCTTCCTCTTTATACGTTTGTTTCATATGTACGGAAACAAGCTCGGGTTCATTTTTGAAAACATCTTCAAGAATATCTAAACCTTCTTCTTGTTTTATATTCATAATTAATTAAACGATATCAGTTTTCTAATTAGGTATTTCAGATTTAAACAATTCTTTTCTTATATTTATGCAGGTTAAAAACAAAGATTTGACAACTAATAATGACAATTGACAGAATAGCACTCTAAACTTCAAACATCAATTGGAGTGCGTTTAGAAACCTCGTTCGGCACGTGGACCCTATTAGGTTCTTCCGTTCGTCCCACTAGAGCGCGTTCAGAAGTTCCGACCAAAAAGAGTGCGATCAATTTGGTCTTGGTTCGTTCAAGAACACTCGAGCGTTCGACTATATCAAGCTAGCGGCTTCGAGCATATATAACTAGAACCATCGTCCAAATGGACTTTGTTTTGGTACAGGGGGGAAATATAGTGTCCAGTATTCCCATTGGTCTGTTTCGTTTTGCTTGGCATGTCAAATCGTTCGAAATTGTCAGAACTGTTATTTGATTTTTGACTTCACATACTTTGATTTTCTTTTACTATACAGAGAATGGTCGCACTGCGCAGCTTTCTGAGTGCCTTTTAAAAGGAGATAGAAAACTCAGCCATTTTGAACCCTTATTACGTGTGGCCTACATCTTGGCGCAATATTTTTAATAGGTGCGTTTTAATCATCCGCTTCTGCTTCGGAATTGTCGGTTTTCTTGTTTTAATTTGACAAGTTAAAACGACTAAACCGACAATTCCGGAAGCAGAAGCGGATGATTAAAACGCACCTGATATTTTGCTTGCGGCTGTCAGTGTCAGTGAATATTTTTTGAGTCACAGATTATTGCTAAAGAATCAGTTAGCTCACTCGGACCAGTTGAAAGTTTCAAAATAAGATCCACTCCAGGGATACAAATTTAGGATACGCAGAAGACAGCTGTTTTATTATAGGCGGTTGTTATATATTGTATTATCCGAGTTGCGCAGTGTATAAACTGGAACATTGAGATCAAAAGTGCCGACGCAGAGTGAGCGATCTGATTCTTTAGCTATAAACTGTTGCATAGGGTTCAAAATGGCCGGGCCCTATGTTGGGCGTGTCGGACCTCTCTCTTGCGCCGTATAGTAAAGAAAATCAAAGTATGTGTTTGACTTTCATTAATTTCTAGCTTATTTTTGTAGTTTATAAGTGATTTTTTGTATTTTATTACTTTAGTGATATACATTTTAACAATAGTGAGAGTTTTTGTAAGTTTTAAATAGAAATACGAAAAGGCATCGTCAAGGTCATTTCACAAGTAAGTAACCATTAGCGTCTCTACCATTTTTTTTTAAAGAAACATAAGTACCTACATTTTATGCAAAAGGCCGTTAAACATGAATTTAAAATAAATGGTAAATTTAGTGAATTAAATTTAAAGAACTTATATTATGTATGAGGAATATTGTTTTAGATTTTGGACTATACTAAAAAGTTAAAAAAAATCACAATTTTTCAATATAAACAAGCTTTTCGTTTTTAACTCATTTTATCATGATAATGCTGAAGATGTTAAATCAATAATTTTTGTCTTTTTTAGGTTTCCAACTAATCCTGCCGAAAAACCCATTTGATGAAACATATTGAAACTTACTCCAGAATAATTTTTTTGGATATATGTTTATGTCAAAGACTGGATGCGGAGGAAGAACTAGATTAATTTCAGGTCCATTGCCATCATGACTTACTGAGGTCCCAGAAGAAGATGAAACTAAAAGGTAAAGAACCCTGCACTTGTGGGTTAATCCTTCAAAATTTTTTAATTTTTCAGTGATGATCTAAACCTCATGGCCTCAAAAGCAGAAAAAGAAAATGCAGAATTAGAAAGCATATAAGTAACTAAGTACTTTTTAATACAACATAAATTTTATTTTCAAATACTTACCTATTACTAACTATATTTTCTATTAATCACAAAAATTAACAATCATTATTTTGTATTAAATATACCTATTGTTAGAAATTATTTAAAGCAACTCTGACAACGCTGTATCCTGAGGCCGCCTGCGGTCGTTCGTAAGGAATGGATATTCACATACGTGCGCTCGTGTAAAATGGCTGCTTGTATTTTTGTTTATCATTTTCGTGCCTTACTGTTTAATAATTTTTGTAGTGTATTCAATTGAGAATATAATTATATCTTTGATTGAGTATAATCTCTTTTGCTAACACTATGTTCTTTAATTAAGTGACTGCTAGTCGTTAAGAAAAAAGCAAAACCTAATGTGATTTTTTCATAAAAAAAGTGATTTTAGGCTTCTTTTATTTGTACTCCTAGTCATTAACAAGTAATCGAAGCTTAAGACAAAAATTAAGCTTCACTTATTTGTTAACGACTGGCAGTACAAAGGTACCTAAGTATTAGCTTGATTTCTATTTGTAGTGTATCGTTTAGTAATCTATTAAACATTGTTTACGAACAATATTTATATGTTTAATAAATTATTGGAAAAAATTCTTTTATTCTAATTCTCGTACACGTGTGTTAATAGATATCATAAATATTTTTATAATATACCTAATATTTATTTATATTTTTGATTTTTAAATACAAGCTCTTTATCTTTTTTATTGCCTTTTATTTCAACCTTCATTTTTCCGCATTACACTTTCTGATGTTTGAATTAAAAAAATCTGATGTGTCCAACACAAATAATAATAGTAATTTACTATTACTAGGTACTTACTTAAAAAAACCTACTTATAAAATATGTGCATAATTTAAAGAATTTTAAAGGTATATATCAAATTTATTATTTATATCAATTGCAAACCCCGTAAAAATGATGCGACACTGAAAATAGTGTCTACCTATTTCCCCTCACAACCCAAACAAACTCTGTTGAATGCGGACTCTATGAAATATGTATGCTCGAAGGCTAGCGGGCACTCTGTGGCGGCACCATACAAGACCTGGTGGTTTTTTTGTAGCTTTTTTGTTACGCTATTTGCGAATTTGAAGCTTAGCCCAGGTCCGAAAAAACAGCGGATCAGCTAGCTTGAATTCCCATAGTAGCATCACAGATTCAGACCAAGCTGGTTTTTCGTAACTTTTATGTAGCTTTTTTGTTATGCCAGTCTCCCTTTTGTAGTTTTTTATTACGCCAGTCTCCCTTCTGTAGCTTGTACTCAACCCAACAAAAGCGCGGATCCGCTAGCTTAGCGGATATTTGTAGCGGCACCAGCTTGGATCAGGCTCATTTTTTGTAACTTTTTTGTTACGCCTGTCTCCATTTCGTTGCGAGGCCTGAACGTGAGTAATAATCGTTTCTCCATGAGCGTGAGAGAAAAGTGCGTTAATTTAAAATCAAGTTTCGGCCTCTATAAGTAATATGTGCAACTCGATAGTGTGACTACCTGTTGATAGATGGCACCAGTATTAAATATAATCTCAAAATCTGACATTTGTTTTTAAATGTTTTTTAGTGTTGTTTATGTATTTATACTTTTGTTGAATCAAGAATATTCTTCCATCTTCTTTGAATGATTTCCTTAACCAATCGTTTTGCAGTATTTATGGACCAGTATTTAATTCTGTCCGATCACAACTATACAGTATGTTCCATCTCAGAGGAGCCACCCCGTATATTTCTTATCCCATAGTAATTGGAAAAATTTCCCGAAACACGTCGGATGATTTTCTTTGGGGGACATCTTTTGACGCATATTTGAGGCTTGAACCAGCAACCCCCTATGAGGGGACTCTTCAACCCCTCAAAATGGAATAGGGAAGAAGGGTTGAGTGATACATCATTTGTAAGGTCTTGAAAGCCTCTTTACAACGGTGTATGAAAAAAATCACATTCTTAAAAAAAATAATTGTTTTATCACATGAAATGATCGAAGAAACGTGATAAACATGCACCTTCTAAGAACAAAAAATGAAGGCAAGATAAGAAAATGTTTTGATTTTTTTTTATTTATTAGTTTGAGAGAATTTATTATTGCATGGAAGTCAATGGAAGACAAATTGAATATTTCATTTAAAAACTCAGTTTTGATTTTTTTGCTTGTAAGCATGATAAAACAATTAATTTTTTTAAAGAATGTGATTTTTTTCATACACCATTGTAATAAAGAGGCTTCCAGGACCTTACAAATGAAGTATCACCCAACCCCTCTTCCCTATTCAATTTTGAGGGGTTAAAGCGCCCCATTATAGGGGGGTTGCTCGTTCAAGCCTCAAATATATGTTCAAAAGATGTAAGTTTTAGCAGTAAAAATAACCGAAAACACCCGATCGGGAAAATAGTGGCGTCCGGCATACAACTATTTTAATAATCTTGTAAATATGTATTTTACATTAATATCGGACAAATAATTAATATACATACCGTTGAAAATGTCCGATTTTGAGATTATATCTAAATTTCTCAAAAATATATTGGATGGAAGATGGCCATAATTCGTGAAATGCAATACTGGTGCCATCTAGCAACAGATAGTCACACTATCGAGTTGCACATATTACTTGTAGAGGCCGAAACTTGATTTTAAATTAACGCACTTTTCTCTCACGCTCATGGAGAAACGATTATTACTCACGTTCAGGCCTCGCAACGAAATCGAGACAGGCGCAACAAAAAAGCTACAAAAAAGTTACAAAAAATGAGTCGGGTCTGGGCTGGTGCCGCTACAAATATCCGCTAAGCTAGCGGATCCGCGCTTTTCTCAGGTTCAGTACAAGCTACAAAAGGGAGACTAGCGTAACAAAAAAGCTACAAAAAAGTTACGAAAAACCAGCTGGGTCTGAATCTGTGCCGCTACTATGGAATTTATGGAAATTCAAGCTAGCGGATCCGCTGTTTTTTCGGACCTGGGCTAAGCTACAAATTTGCAAATAGCGTAACAGAAAAGCTACAAAAAAGCTACAAAAAACCCACCAGGTCTTGAATGGTGCCGCCACAGAGTGCCCGCTAGCTTGATATAGCTCTCAATGTTTCAGTTTATACATTGTACAACTCGGATAATACAATATATGACAACCGCCTATAATAAAACAGCAGTCTTCTGCGTATCCTGAATTTGTATC